ATTTCATAGTGATTGAAATCAATAATTTAAGATTCCGATGTCGCCGGAAAAGTCATTTTGTAGAATGGCTAATTGAGTATATATGTATATGATTGTATATGTATGTATTGAATAAAGCTCAGGCGGAGAAGGCATTTCATAATAAACATATATACTAATCAGATAGGGTTGTTCATTGCTTGGAGAACGCATTTTGTAGAAGGCAGGACCGACCGACTGCAGCCATAGGGGGAACGCATAGCGACTCTATGAGACACTAGACATACTCAGGTGATCCCCTTTAATTAGTTTCGCGATGTGTCAGGCATTGTTTGTTGACACTGGGATTGGAAAGATCCACCACCAGATGTTTGGCAAGTGTCACCTGTAGGTACAGCCTATTCAGATGGATGGGGAACAGCCGAAGCGAAAAGGAAAAAATGCGCAAATGGATGCACTGCAGAAAGATACTTAATGCATTGTATAGTGCGCCACCTCTTAAGTAAAGACGGGCCAACTTCAAAACAGGTCACGTGGAAAAGGCATTTCATAGTATCGGAAATCAGGAGTGGCCTCCTCATAAAGGCACCCTAACAATGCATTTTGTAGTACATGCAAATGAACTGAGTACATCCAAAAGGCACACCTGGAAAACCCATTCTATAGTAACGGTTTTCGAGTCGGAGCATAACATGCAGGCGGACACATCATTTTGTAGCATGTTCGAAATCCGTTCGTGTCATTTTGTAGCTTAAAGACGAGGCAAACACTACAAAATGGTGGCTCACAACGTCACCCTATAAATTCTAACCCGGATCCATAATGTTTGAAACAGCTAGAATTCCACACCCTCTGGGTGTTGCAGGTATGCCATGCATGTCATATGACCCGGGAGGACTTGGTTCACTTCTGTTGCATGGTGTCCGTCGTTGATCTTTCGATGCAAGGCCCTGACCTGGCTCAAGCACCCCAGAATGGCCCAGAATGGCAAAACCACTGGACCTCAAAAAGTGTCCAGTCGATGATATCAAGATGATTGCATTGCATGTTTCATTCAGACCAGGCTTAGTTCATCATCCCCTGGACCAAAAACAACATCTTCCAACCTCCCACCGGCTGACTCCTCATTTCTGCCCCTATCTGCCCCTCAGAGCCCTCACACCCCTGGGGCCACGCTGAGGTTAGAACGGACCTGCCAGGATTGCCAGCTGGGAGAGACGGACCGAAGAACAACCCCAGGTGGTTGCGAGTGATAAGCACCATGGGGCAGCACGAAGGGCCGCACTTGTCATCAATCATGCTTGGGTACCCACACATTGGGTAGCTGATCAGCTCTGCAGTTTGCAGATTCATTATGAGCCAAGTCTTGGCTCCCGTCCGGTTCAGCCGTGGGACAGTGTGGGAGGCTTGTCGGAGTGAAACATATTGAACAAATCGGGGAAAAACGATGGGGACACATTTTTAATGCAGCTAGACCAGAAATCCAACAGCCGGTGCAGCCCACCAGTGACATGTTGGTTAGGTGCCAATACCGGTGCAGCCGCACGGCATCAGGTCATGAGACGGACTTCTTCAACGGGGGCCTCCCGGTCCTGGAGAAGTATTGGTCTCTCGGCTTAGCCGGTGGATTTGAGGGGAGCCTTTGGCAATGGCGTGAGGGTCGGGACCCTACAAGACTTGCTGTATTGAGTGTGCGTGAGTAGTAATTGAGTGTGCATGCGAATGGTTTGGAGCCACATGACGCATGATATGCAGTTGAGCGCATGCAACATGGCATGTTCTCCTGAAGGATGTTTCCTTTGGGATGCAAGGACCTAGCATCTAGAGAGAACAAAACACTCGCACGAGGTGGGGGAAAAGCTTAATCCATAAAATCTGGAGTCCAGACCGACCATGGGAATTGAATGGAGGATCTCGCGCTTATATATACCTTGTCCTTCCATAACCTTAAAAAATGTAGGGTGTGCTTGCAAACACGAGGTCTGGAAGGTAAACACGAGGTTCTGCCAAAACCCGAGTTTTCCCTGAGTTCCCCGTTGACGCCCGGCCACTGATGTGATCCTTTTGGCTCCCCCTGGCGGCTGATCTACCTGAACGGCCGATGCCTCAGCTGACCTCAACCAAGATATGAAGTGAAAAGATGTTGAATATGTAATGAAACCTTGTTTAAAGGGCATGCATACTATAAGTATAATGCACCAAAACAGTTGAAGTATGAAAGTCTTTAAGTACAACTCTTGGCATCATTGCTACCTGCTGGTAATTATCAATCCAGCTTTCACCCATTGGTGATAGCTGGCCCTAAGATATCGCTCAATCACCCGGTCTGAGCATTTGTCAGATGCGGTGACACGGCGTGACAACCGTGAAGGTCGACCCAAAAAGTCCTCTGATTGCTGTGTGCCCCACGCTAAAATATTTAGAGTGGGGCCCTTTTCCGACCCATGGTAAAGGTACAGCATCAAATGGTGCCAGGCATGCAGCTTCGGCTGCAAGACAAAAAGTGTTCTGGCATTTTGATTGGCAATCCGTGCGCATGCACTGTACCGTCGCAGGAAGCGCAGACCTAGCTCACTAGCTTCTTTTGCTGCAGCAGGCTTCAAAAATAGCTCTCCTTTGTACAAGATTCGCAAGCAGTCATTTGCAGCACATGCTGCCTGGCCACTCAACAGCAGCATGGGTTCTCCACTCCAATCTTCTCTCTTGAACCGATCCTCGATGTACTTCATGAGAGTTGTCGTGAGATCTCCTTTGTGCCACCCCCCATTGGGGTAGCTGCGCGTGGTTGGATAGTTGATTGTTTCTTTTGTCAACTTTGTGATGTATGGCCTTTTGGCATTGACCCGGCACCAGCCAATGTAATCATCAGACAAACCCTTGAACCTGTCGTCGATGTTTGTTTCCGGTCTCTGCTCAGCAAGCAGGGCCAAAGTCGAACCCAATAGCGCCTTGCCACATCCTAGGTGGAATGTGTGAAACACATCGAAAAAGAACAGCGAAGGGCTCTCGCCCTCTTGGTGGGGCAGACTCAGCCATGGTGTCGCAGGAACCCTAAAAGGATTGTCAGCATAAACTGTTTGTAGCCATGTCGGAGACCTTGTTGCGATCTCCTCAAAATCACATCCAACCCTGCCTGCGGAGCAAAGGTGACACACACCTTTCGGTATCGATGGATTATTCGTTCTGGCATTCGGCTTGTGCTTCTCCACGTTCATGAACGATCTTTCAAGCTGACCGGCTTTGCATAGCCATGGCCAATCACCAACTATGTTCAAAGTTGCAATCCAAAATTTTCCTCTGACTGGGTGGCTCACGCCAGTTGTGAACATGTTGTTGGCCTCAACAGCTCCGAATTGCATCAAGTCCTGAAAGACATGCGTGTTGCTATTTGTATACAGATGCTTGCCAACTGCTGCCATAAGAAATCTATTCGTGTAGGAGTGCCCCTCGTAGTTCAACCAAAGTTTCAAGTACGGTGCCTTTTTGGTTCTAGATTTTCTTTGCACTGCGACGCCTTTGCCCAGTAGAGAATGGAACGATATCACCAGCACAGCTGAATGCTTTCGCCCCCTTCCCTCGTCTCCGTGGCACACGAACGGTGCCGTTCTGCTCAACTTAATTTCACCTCGTCTAGCCTTCTCATAGATTGGGTGCTGAGGGTACTGTCTCTCGTAAAGAGCCCAAAATTTGTCCAGGATCTGCTCTTCACGCTTCCAGTCAGGCTTTTGAAGTCCAACTACAATGTGCCAGTGGTTTTCACGAACGAGGAACTCGCTCCAATCTGTCAAAGACAAGACCGGTAGGCTATACCTATCATTGACAGGAATGTAGCGCTTTGGAATTGGCAATGAAAGGTGAAATTGGTTCACCATGATCCTTTGGCAATCTCGCTCCGAATTCTTTTCAGACCGTTTCGCCAACTTGGAGATACCAACCGATTTTGACAGGGCCTTTTCCCCAACATCAAGGAGAAAGTTCCGGGCCGTCCGAATAGCTGAAGCGCAGGAGGCCTAGGCGAGGCAGGACACAAGGACGCCATATTAAATATATCAGGGTCAAAATTGCAGGTAGGCCGGGATCTATATAGGCTATATGGTTCACAGAGTGGATCATCGAATGTTGTATGAAGTTGGACTCTAGAAGTGCATATATGGTGCCATTGACCATAAACAAAATGGAAGCAAACATATATAAGCACACACTTTCATTGAAGGAAATTGATGCGGCCTTTTCAACATCCACCTTGCAAAGAGCTTAGCCACTGTTGGGCCCAAGGCAAAAGGCCACATGCATGTTGACCCACCAACATCCATCAGCCAAAGTCAAGATTTTTTATTGACATCTGGTGGGTATTTGAAAGATCTGTACACCACATATGTCATGTATAGCGCTCGTGGCCCCTCTAAGGTCGGGCGCTCCGGGTTGACAGTGTCGCCTCCCAGTCTGACGTTTCTGCAGCCTGGCTTACCTTGGCGGGCTCTATCGGTGGATGGGCATGGACACTTGGAAACGGACTTTGCCAAAAGAGACTCAATGTTGATCCATTGTGGGCCAAAGTACTCATGAACTTTTCAATGAGCGCGGCTTCAAGCATGGAAGGGCCATCAGGCTCCAACGAGTAGTGCATGACAATCATGGCAGTCCACCAGTCTTTTGAATGTCCATATCCGTACATGTTGTTGCACCACCTCCATGTCGGGTTGTGGGTCCAGCCGACTTTGAATATGAGTGGCTCGTAACACGTGAACAGGTTGTCCAAAACTGCCATTGCATGCCTAAGAACTTTGCCAGCCAGTGCTCATAACCCAGGTAGTTGGAAGATGATCCGCCCTGGTGCCAAGTTCTCAGCTTCTTGTTGGAGATCCATGAGTTCTGGAATGGTTTTTGCGTGAGCATCAAACACATCCATCCATTTGTCTGTATTCGTTCGACGTTTCTTAGCGGATTCATTCTTTGTACTTGGTAGCCCTTCGTTCGCACCCTTCAAGTCTTTGATCGAACCAGGAGAGTTCAACGAAAGATCAACCCGAGACCAAGAGATGGTAGATCTTGTCAAATTCAGCGTCGTAGACAGTCCCTGGGAAGAACTTGTCCATGGGAAGGGTGCATGGTCATCCTGAGTTGAGAGCTCACAATTCTCCAATTCCAACATGTATTGAAGTCGGTCCCTGTGGACGTTTGCCATGTAGCTTGAGTCAAAAGGAGATCAATCAACCATCGAACACAAAAAGGCGGTGCATCCTAGAAGCTGAGCGGTGACAAGTCAAGAGTTCCAAAAGCCATTGCTCTTCATCGCTAGAGGCATGTTTCTCTTTTCCAGTCCGCATGAGTCGAACTGAAGCCAAAACAACATCGGCGGTTGCAAAGAGAATATATATATATATGAGACGGCGGGGAAAGGCTTCACATAAGTTGTAATGTAAGAGATTTGGACTGGAAGTGATGCCAACCAGGCATGCTGCATGGGTTGAGTCGAAGCTTGCTCCCGGACATTTGAGGTTCGAGCCCCGTTGCCAATATCTTCGTTGAGGCCACGCAGTGCAAGTCCAGCTGGCTGACCTGGCACATGTTTGGTTTTAAAAGACTTCCGGAAGCTTTGAACCGTTCGATACTTTCTGCCCAATCCCTTATATTGCGTGCATGCACATGTGCATGCATTCACACCTGAACGCGTTCATCTTACATACATCAGTCAGTAGAAGTATAGCTTGGAGCACCTACTTAAAGCGGATTTCTGCGCATGCGTTCTCGTGCGTTCTTCTCATGGGCATGCGTGTGCATGTCCATGTGGTGGATACGGGACTGCGATGGTCCAAGTTTTTCCCGAACGCGCATCACTTCACTTCAGGTGATGGCCATCACTTTGTGGCAGGCAAAGGACTGCTGATCCCACAAGCGCTAATGAGCAAAACCACACAAGCTGCTGACGATCTCTTGCATGGATCATCAAAGTTGGTTGAATCAAAACAAACATTGTTGGAAATGGCAGATGGTAGCAAAAAAGAAGATGTTGTTCGATTCCTCTTGGTTGAACATGTTGTTGACCATTCTTGGTTGCCTCCCTCTCGGCAACAGCACCAAGAGAGTCTCAGCTTCTAAGTGTGGTGAAAATAATTACAAATCTCTGAGACATAGGATGTACTACTGTTTGTTCTTCTTGTTCTTCTTTACCGTCTTCTTTCCGGCAGAAGATGCAGTCACTGTGCCCCGTTTCTCCGTCTTTTCTTTCTTATCCGTTTTATCTTTCTTATCAGTCTTATCTTTCTTATGCTTCTCACCCCCATGGCCCTTCTTGCTGTAGAACTTCTTGGCGGTCCTGTCGGTGCTGGTGAGAACTCACGATCCATTAAACGAGGCAAATTATCTCAAGTTGGGCCAGCGTTCACACACCGTGGGAACACTGTTGCAGGACAGTTCGAGCCTGACTTTCAGTTCCACCGCCAGGGCCTTGCTGCACCTCAGGCAGATGTTGAGAGACTATAGTGCATGAAGTAAAGCAGGCCCCCTGCAAAGGTAAAAAGTTGCAACACCACTATGAGGCTGCAACACAAACGTTGCCTGTTTCATTTTTGCTTCTGCTTCATTGTAAAACCTGGGCAGTGTTGTCGACACGCATGTTGACAGAACGGTTTGTCAACAGAATGTAATTAATACCAGTGTGATACAACACTTCAGTTCCCACCAGAACATTCTGTGGAGTCATTGTGTTCAGCAGTATATGGAGAAACAAGAAACTTCTCAGATCGGAAAGAATCCATCTCGCCCTGAGCCCATACATGTTGACAAAGGTCAAACTGCTCGTCAATTTTTTTGATCTCAGCTTCCAAGGTTTGGATGCACCTTGCGCTGCTGGCGCAGGAGATCGGAGGGGATGGAGGCCAAAGGTTTGCCCAAAAAAAGTCTCACAGGCTGTAGCATTTCACCATGAAAAAACTGATGAATATATATACTGGTTATATAAACAAATGCTTGGGCAAAGAAACTGTTTGGCTGCTTCATCAGAGTAGTTTTTGCCCAGGTCTCGTGTCAACGACCGTAGCTTCCCACTTTTGGAGATCATGGAATCCAGGGTCTTCTTCAGCGCGTGTTTGGTCTGTAGGGCCGAACAAAACACATAACATCATCGACATGAAAGAAACGGACGATTGAATTGCATATCAAAGGAGTGTCCATGCGCACATGTACACGCAGCGAACACAAGTACTAAACAGCGTCATACTTCAACAACACAAAAATGGGGTTGAAGATATCAATCACCACACCCTATCCTGCGCATACTTGTCGTGTTTCGGATCATCCAACACGGTATTCTTCTCCTTCTGTTCCCTGGCGTCCAAGGCCCCCAAACCAGTGAACTGCTTCTCAAACTGGCACTTGGGGTCCGCATCAGCCTGGCCGGCACAGGATTCAAGATCCAGACTGTGCAATGGACCTTTGGACGCGAAAGATAGCCACTTCCAGTCGGGGCCTTGGACCTCTTCGAGTGTTGTTCCTCGTAGCTCGTTGATTCGGTACGCTCTGCACTTTCCTTCACCACGATCCAGAATTCCTGGACCCCGTCATATGCATTGCACCTCCAGGTCACAATCAACGAATTTGAAAACAATTGGTCTGGTGAATCTTTGTGAATCTTTGGTTTTGTTCTCCGAACAAAACACAAAGCAGGTTACGCCTCACATGGGTTTCCGCCATGGCCAAACATTTGGCTTTCGCTCCATCAATTCGTGACCTTTGAAACGGTCACATTGAAATGGTATGGCACTCTTGTTGTGGATGGGCAAACTATTCAAGTTTCAGGAAAAACCATGTTGCTTTTAGACACTGGCACGCAAATCTGAGGGACTGGCTGAGACCATCCAAGTTCATCCTTCATTTCAGCCTCAGAATACCAGCCTTCTTTGACAGTGAGCTTGAACTTCTGTTTCTTGGACACGAGGACGTGGAGCTCAGCAACGAACCGATCCTACCAAACATGTTGGCTACGAGAGGTCATAAAAGATATTCATGACAGTTTCTCTTCTTGGACGGAAGCATCGATTGTCCAATCCAGTTATGGATTGAGGTGTTGTTTAAAACCAATTGTGATTTCATGCAAAGGATGAAAACACAGTCCTTGTCGAAGTTCAGCGACCTAAACAAATCTGCCATGTTGTTTTTGTCACCCTTGGACCACTCATTTTTGAGCCAGTCGGGGGCATCCAATTCCTTCCTTTTGGAATGGGGCTTGGCCATTCGGTCAATGCGGGCTTTGGCTGCACGTCGAAGGTTGTGCTGCAGGGGCTGCAATGCACGAAAAAAAAACATATACATACGGATCGAGAATCGAGATATTGCACATGCATGTTCATACATCTCTATAGAATACTTGAACAGACACACATTTACAGTAAAATGTGTACCCAGCCTGTCGCTGTGTAAGGCCTCCAAACCAGCACTTGTGCTGCACAACGCGAACTGGCGGGGCCTCCTTTGGTGCAGCAATGCCCTCCTGCAAAACCTGACTAGGTTCCTCAGCACGTAGACCAATCTCAGGACTACTAGGTGAACGCACCTCTGGCTGATGATCTCGATTCCGAACTGGAGTCGCAATAGGAACCTGCGCAACTTTAAATCCAACAGGCTCATCATTGTTTATAAAGACATCAGGCACAATGTACGGATGCAATCTATATATCGATCTATATAGCACATATTCCCAAGATTCCAATATTATTAAGTTCAAGTCTGAGTCCGCCTGCAAGGCATCCCAAACTTCTTCCTTTGAAGCCTGAGAAGTTATGGATCCATGTCTTAAATTGACACCAATTAAGTTCCGCGTCTGAGGCGTTGGCAGGAAGTGTTTCCTGATCAGAAGGATGTGGATCGGCAGGCGCCTGGGCAGATCTGGGCAGATGAAAGTGGCAAAGCAATGGGAACAGGGCAAAACAATAGCGGTACTGCAGTGGTAAAACATTAATTTGCAGAATGCCTGGAAGACACTCATTTATATATTATGGTGTTTCCAATGGAATCTACACTCGATTGAGCTGCATATCTTATAGGCCTCAATCAGGACTTCCGGTTGCCCTCCAGCCATTTGCGCTTCCACATCCTGGAATTTAAGAATGATTGAGAGAAGGTTCACTTTCCCGATCCACACATCGATTCACATAATTTCACAGAAATAAGCTTATAGAGCTGTGACAATATAGGGAGACATAATTAAGTCTTTGCCAACAAAGGCCGAGCTTGAATGAAGAACATCATGAGACACGCTGTGATGTCCTGCAATTGTTGAAGAAGCGTTTCCTCATCCAAGTCGTTATCCTCCACCGGGATCTGGTTCACATCTTTCATGATATAGTTCATTCCCTCTTCAAGGGTTGCGCAGCTCCAACGTTGTGACCCACTAGCAACGGTTGAAGGTGGGCTTGCCATGAAAAGCGGTTGGGGACCGAGTTAACAGCAGCGACCGAGTCCGATGGGCTAAACCGTATTGTCCTGCAAATTATCGATGGCATCTAACACTTCCATTCCAACATCAAATCTTGGGTTGCAATCAATCGTATGCATGCATGATTGTTCTCATGACTCACGCAACTTTGATTTCTTTCAAACAACAGAGTTCGAAGCATGTTGTTTTGGCACCAGCAGGCGGCTCTTTCTACATAGGCTTCAACTGACAAATGCCGCCATTTGATGTGCGACCATATCACACATGTAGTAGCGACCGAATTGTATTCGAATTATTGATCGGCTTCGGAAAGGCAACTGTCGATGGTGGATCTTGTCGATTGAATGCTTCCAAAAAGTGATTTTTTTGGTGCTGGTGGGACCCCTCAAACCCGTGTTTTAAAACATGGTTAATCACGGGTAAATCACGGGCAGGTCACGGGTAAATCACGGGTTGAGGTAAAACACATGGTTGCAACAAACACAGGTTCTACCCCGGTAGATCACGGGTAATCACGGGTAAATCATGGGTAGGTCACGGGTAAAACCTGTGTTTTGATTGTCAACCCATTGAAAACCATGATTTACCCTGTAAAAAATGAAAAAACACGATACAACATGGAAACATAACCTTAATTTTCCCTATGTTTCGATCCATCTAGCACATTGTTGGTTAAAAGGTCGATGTTGAAAGCACCACCGATATTGCCGACCACCCATCAAATTACTGGGAGCTAGGCAGGATAGGCAGGGAGGATACTACGCCACTCCTCAGGAACCCGGAGTTTCTTACAACCCCGCAAATATTTGTACAACTGTTGGAAATCAGCATATCGCCACAGGAGCGGATCACACTCCCATGTAAAGAAGCTCATGGTGATCAGAGCTGAAGGAACGGCCTCATCAGGAAGCGCCGGTTGACCTTTCGCGTTTGCCTTCATTTCTTCCACAAGGTCCACCATGGCCCTTGCGAAAGGCATAGGATATTCCCTGAGCGTTGCAGTGGTCGGTACAAAAGTATGCGGTCGATATATATCGGAATCTATAGCGAATATCGATCCAACAGTATCCTTTCTAGAAGCGGGCTACTAGCAACCATATTGTTCTCTCCATACTGATGGGTTTTATTCCCATCACCAAAATGTTGGCTACCAAACATGAAAATATTAACACCAGCGAATATATTCAAGGAACTCAGTTTGCTTCAACTGCGAAGTTCCTTTGTATCGCCACTTCCCACTTCGATCCTTGTATTTCTCACAAGTAACAGGTTTGTTCTCCTGTGGAATCTGAGTGCGGTGGAGTTTACCACGGTCGATCTTCCTCACCGTGCAAGAGTTGGAGTAGGCGTAGTGACGCTTCGCGGTGCGAGCTGAATAGTGACCCATCCACCAATGAACGATAGTCACCTTGGTAAGAGCTGTGCGTGTCCTTCCTATGTTGTATGCGTCTCCAGGTATATATTCACGCACCTCTCTTTATATGCAGCGCTATATCGATCTGTCAGTTTCTCCTCACTTGTCGGAACAGTTGAGTTACCAAATTCATTCAAATTCGGAAAGCCTGGTTCCCCCCCCCCCAAACAAGCGAGAATGAACATGCTGTTTTTATGTACGAGCCCACACCAATCATACTTTCACTGCATACTGGTTTCTTTCTCCTCTAGATATAGAGTGAGCTTTGGACACCCCAAAACGTTAGTGTGGAAGCCTCATCACCCCAACAAAAAGAATTGAGGACCCGACAGCCGTGTTCCCACCGCATTGGAAAATGTGATGGATCACCTTCCGCCACGTAGGAAAATACTCCATGAGAGACCCCCCTGGTTGCTCGACGCTCCAAGCTCCTCCCAAGGCTGTGCACAAAAGCACCAAGGCTGCAGTCCTGGGCGCGCCAGATGCTCAGGAACGGCTTGCGAAACTTGTTGGGTTCAAACCGAGGGAGTATTCGAGTATATACAACCGTGACCTGGATATGTGCAGCATGCGGATGCTATATATAAGAACACGTCACAAGAACACTAACAATTAATAATCGAAACAATATTCTTCCCCAAGCATCCGTTCCAACAGCATATTACTCATCTTCACTGAAGCATGACCATCAAACCCTTCTGAAGAACAAGCAGACCGCATACTGGTCCCAACGTTCACCTTGCAAAGAGATGAGCACTTCAGCCCAAAGTGACATGCGAAATCTTCAAAGACAGTCTTCAGCAATACCACCGTGGCCAACCTTAGAATTTCTATCATGGTCCAGAATCAGAAACATGATTAGACAGCAGTAGCCAACACTCCCCCGGAAAAGATGGCTGACCATTTTACTTGAACTTGCTTTTTTTATCATGACCAAATTTGAACCACAGTTTGTTAGAACATATGGTGGTGTGATCCATTCGGTGTGTTCATGGACATCCTTCCTCCATGACCATGCACAGAACTGTTCAGGTCAAGCAATGCAACCTGAGAACGCAAATCCCGCTGCATGAGTTAGGTCCATATAGTTGCTCTTCTTGGTCTTGGGGGTGTGATCCTTTAAATCCAGCCTCACCGACTTGTACTGAGCAGATCGCATTTGCGTCGTTAGGTTGCCTTTTCCTGCAAAGTACTCGATGTAGTCGAATTCCTGGCAGACACGTGAACACAGGATAAGATGGAAACCTTTGCTATGTTCCCTTAAACTGTGGATGTTGTTCCTTGTCATATATAGGGTTCAAAATCTGAAAGCCACGATTAACACAAAGTGTTTCTTTATATCCTTGCCTGTGTATATAGTAGATTCGATTGGTAGCAGGATTGGATCGTAAACAAAAAACAACTTGCATTTATGCAGGTGCACCTTCACGAGTGTCAAAGAGTTCCATGGGCTAAGACCGAAGACTTGTAGATCGAGCGACTATTATTTTCGATTATTTTGCCCGCCTGGGTCAAGTCGATGTCCGTCCAGGCGATCAAAATGATGCACCAGACGAACTCCTGCAGCTTTTGCTCTACAGGCGTTTTGGGATACACAGGACCCAGGAGCCGTGAACTTCTTGACTTCGCGAGGAGATGTTGATAGTAATGAAATCGATAGAAACAATCTTAGAAACATTTATCGAAACTATATGGTCAACAATTAACACCATTCCCTATCGATCCACCAATGCACCACAAAGATCCTTGGGGCATCCCAGTCGATGAAGCCGCCAAACCAAATTGTCAAGCCACGACATTGCTGCAAAAATGGCTTGCAACTTGCAAAGGCAAAGGGGTGCATGTAAGTGCATGGTTGCAAACAGTTGTGCTTCGAATTTGGCGTTGTGAAAATCAAGCTGTTAATCTGTGTACGGTTCTTTGTCAAAAGGACCAACGGAGTTCCCTGAGACAGAATCGCAATCGTGTTTGAGCTCGTGTCCTCAATATATGCCATGCACGATGATCGATCAGCCCAATGGTGTGAAACCAATTCTTGTTAATTGGTGTATTCTTCAGTTTGAGCGGCATGCCAAACATGCCACTAGCACGCCACGGCTTCAATGCACCTCCCCGGACCTTCCAAAGGTGCCTTTTGGCAGGAAGAAGAAGTCGGCCCATGCCTCAGAGAGATGGCAGCTGAAGGGAAAGAACGCTAAAACACATGAGGGGTGCACACTGAACTGATTGCAATAGACAGAAGGTTGCAGAGCTCTATCCTTTATACAGTAACCCTAGATGACTTATATTCTTTAGACACGCGCCTCTGAACTATGAAATTGATCACATATTGGATTGTAGTCGAGGCAAGAACAACAGAACAAATTGAACACACAACCACCCTCATTCATTCCACACAATTAGACAAGGATCACCTCTATGTCCCTTCACTTCGGAGACTATAGCTCAAGAACGCAGCACCTTCTTTCAACTCACTGCGCTGTGAGGTTTGATTGGCGACATCACCTGGAGCCTACCTGACAGTGCCAAGGACTGGTTGGGCTGATTGGGCCTACCACACCAGGTGAAAAATCAAACCTAAAGTAGCTAAGTAAGTGGCTATTAAATGATATGGTTGATTTTAAGTCTTATAGATCTCCAATCCACAGCACTTGTTCCTATATAGGCTCGCCGATGTGCAGTCGTATCCACGCGGATTCGGGATCATTGCTGCTGCTATGGGCTTGTTGAAAGCTCAAGCTGTAACTCAAGCACACCATACAACATTATAGATGCAAGGCCAAAGTTATGAAACAATAGATCGATCTATATAGTGCCAGCTGTACTTGGTAACCCACAGCTCCAGCAATGCATATAGCTTCTAAGGCAGCCATTGCGTGTGCATACCCCTTGAAAAGGCCAACTTGATCGCAAGTTGGTAGACCCTAAAGCACACAGCTAGCTGAGCTATGGGATTTCATCCTTCTTTCAGCGTAGACAATGCTGCTGGCACTGCTTCTTGCAGTGACGCAAACGTGTTCAAAATCAATTCGTGCTCAGCCAAAGAGACACTGCTATCTTGAAGCTCGGGATCAAGTGCGATTTCATCCACGCGTGCTGCCTGGGCGATCTAGGAACGGAAATGGCCTGATATATTTGCAGAAAAAGCACGGTCAATTCATGTTGAGGCTAAACTTACTCGCTTAAACAACGACAACATGCGTATAGAGTTGTTGGCAAGTGAAGTGCTGTGCATACAAGACACCAGTTGTTCAGCAGCTTTCAGCACTGCGGCCATTCGGTAGATAAGAGGTCCAGCACTGGAGTCTTTCATAGACAATGTGCCAAAATCCTTTTTCTCACTTCTTAAATGCAAACCCACCGAATTGGTCTTCCAATAAATGTTGTATCGCGATTCCTTAAACTGACCCACCTTTGACTTGAACAAATTTTTGAGTTCCGGTGTGATTTCAGAGTTCTTCTGGTCATCAAACTTCTGGCAAAACTTGGCAATGCGTTTGGTATAGAGCTTCACATCCTCAGGGACTGCTTCCCCAACTCTAGGTTTCTTTTTAGGCCGGGATCGTTCCTTCTCCTTTCCTTCATGTTCCTTCTCTTCAGCTGCAGTCCTTTTCCTCCTTGATTGGGACTTCTTGCTCTCATCCTTACCTGGGTCCTCCTCCTTCATTGGCTTTTTCTTGCCTGATGGCTTTGCTGGTTCATGTGCTTCCTTGTTTGTTTTGCTTTGCTTGTCCACCTTCTGTTTTTTCTTCGAGTTGTCCTGCTCGGTACCATTGCTATGTTCTGGTTTGCCCAAAGCATTCAAAGCAACTTTTCCCTCCATCCAGGCGACGTGGTCCCACGCCCTCCGTTGTGTTCCCCAGCCCTCCCATCCCCATTCCTCATCAGCTTCTCCATAGTGCTGGGCCCATGTTTCATCCCACCATTCATCATCATATTCCTGCTCATCGTAGTGGTGGTCTGGGCCAGACTCCTGAGGCGATGGCTTGGTTTTCTTCCTTTTCGGATCCTCTGCAGTTTTCCCTTTGGTGGTAGCGGTGCTAGGTTCACCTCCATCTTTTGGATAACCTCGACCTCTCCCCCTCCCTCTCCCTCTTCCTCCTCTACCTCCACGACCTCGTCCCTGGGACTTGTCCGGTTTCAGATTGAGCTGATCAAGCTTGCGAACGTAGGGCTCCTGCCAGAAAAAACAAACTTCTAATAAAACTACATGTCCACACAGACATGTTTACACATGGACAACATATCAAGGTCCCAACATACTGCCTGCCTTGTCATCACCACTGAACACCTCCCCCTCCTGCTTTTTCTCAGCACCCTCCTGGGCAGAAGGTTCATAATGTCTGGTTTCTTGCAAATTTGGCTCTTCAGCTTCCTCACCAATCTTTCTTCCAGGTTCTGCAACATTTTGGTAAGCATAGCGTTTGGCTTCTGCAGAAATTTCTGGCGAAAAAGATGTCGGAACTACTTCCGGAGGAACAGGGGCCGTGGCGATATCAATAGGCTGGGTCTCAACGTTGTCAAGGGTGACTCCTGCAAACGCAATCAACATGGATATGCGTTGCTCATTTGAACAGAAACCACATAAACTTCACTCACAGCAGGCCGGAAATGTTGATGATTGTTGATGCTTAGTGAACGCACAGTGGAGTGTGTGTTATAAAAATATGTTCCATGGTCAAAAAACCATCAAACCTCTCGATACAGCATACGTCATGCGTGGTTTTTGTCCTTTCTTCTCTGGTTGCTTTGCTGATTCCAACTTCTTCTTCTGGCGAAGCCTTGTTTTGAACACACTTTTTGACATGAAACGACTGTGTATATATTCATTCATTACTGCAGTTGGTCAAAAAATATTGAGCGTTATCGTTTAAAGACAATCTCCAAAGTTGCCAGGTTGCTGTTCCAATTTGGCCAGGATTTTCTCACGTTGAAGTCGAAGGTCATCTCACGAGAAACGACTCTAACAAACCCGCCCATAAAATGTGTTTTCATTAAGATCATGTTTCAACAAAGTCCGCTAGTTAATTCAGCTATATAGTTGGAGCAAGTACACCTGTATATATGCAACCAACCCCAACACGCCTGTTCCCTTCTTTTCTTGCGATGCCTTCTCAGGTGGTCCACCTTCGTTCTCCTGTGCTACCTGTTTTGGAGACTCTTTTGGAATTTCACCCTGCAGTTCTCCCTGCCTTTGTTCTGGTAAAGTGAGGTCTCCCTTTGAACCATCGATATTGTTTGTCTCCTTTTCCTCAACCTTTGGGGTGGCTTCTTCCTGTGCAGGTTCTGCGGGCTGCTCCATGTTTGCTATGTGGGTTTCCTCTGGCTTTACATTCCCTGAACTTGTTGCCGTAGAACTGGGCTGTTCCTCCGCTTCCCCATTCCCTTCTGCTACATGTACTTCTGGATCATCCTCACTACCCTCCTCCTCATCCTCCTCTTCTTCACCGTCTGAGTCCTTGAAGTCCTTCAAGGGTATATATGTTGATGGAGCTAAGTACGAAATAGTACGAAGGTCAAACTGGCCCAACAGAACAACTTCAACAAGAATCAGAGATAAAGAACAACTTTGTCCTTGCTTTTGTTTTTAGCATTGATGCCATCAACTCTCTCCTCTGGAGAACGGACATCAGCGTGAAAGAAAATACATGTTTCATTTCATTGCAAAAGTTTCAACAACAACAACAACAACACAACCAGAAAGGGTAAGGAATGCCTTAGTTATCATGCAGCCGTCCTCGAGGGAAGGGTTGAGTTCCAGGCACATCTGTTGAAATTGAGGTACCTAGGATTAGGATCCGTGCAAGTGCAAGAAACATGTTCATCACACCCATCATGGCTCATGGAGACAAGTTGGTTGATCTATGTACGACCTACATGCATGCATGTCAATGATATTGGATACAACAATATGCATCTGAGTTGCAGAACTTGGTTCTCCACGGCGGCACTTCATTTTGACAAAGCCACACAGCCTTTTGATGTGTGCAGCAGTGTCAACAACCATTTGCAAATCCTCCTGAGAAGAACGCTTGCTCAGAGTCAAAGCCTTGCAAATCTCTTCCCTGAGATCCTCCACTGCAGGGAGGGTTTTTTTTCTCAAGCAAGCGCATGCGAGATAACACGGGCATCAATACCTCAGAATTCTTCACACAAGTA